AAAAAGTGTCAAAACACCCCTATCTCTCCGGTCTTGTAAGTCTGATCAAGCTGAAATTTTTTTGTTTAAAAAAATATTATTCTCCTGATTTTTGGTACAGCTGACAAAAAAAATGTGCTTTTTAGGATACCTTCGATATTTTGGCTTTTTTATTCGAAGATCAAAAAATGAAAGAACCCTTATCTTAAACAGTGTCTAGTGTCTGTAGAAAAACTTTTGTAGTTTGGAGAAACAGAGGCGATCATTTTCCACCATTGTGATCCTGATATTTCATAGAGGACTGAATTCGAGAATTTTGAGTCTATAACAACTTTTGTTCAACTCGTCACGATCTATCTATTCTTTCTTTGTTTGTATACTCATTCATTTTATTTGGGTTTGATTTAAGTGGTCAGTCGAAATAAATGAAATCGTCAGTAAAAAAAAATATACAAATGATCAGTATATAGATATATTGAACGGTCAGTACTGAATTACAAAATGGTCAGTTTATTGCATATTATGAGCAGTAAAGAATTTAGTTTCGGCCAATGAAAAGTATAGATTTCATCAGCAGAATTTTTTCATTCATATAAAATAGTTTATGGATATGGATTCTAACAGACTTTCATTTCATACACATCCACATCCTTCAGCTTGGATAAATAGTACCTTTTTTCAATGTCTCTATCATATAGCAGATAAATACTTGCTCTACATTGAAGTCCACGGCGCTTGTCTTTGTTACATTTTCAATAAGCTGTTCTCATTTCATATGATGTTTTCACCATGCATTTTCATTTGGTGTTTCTGTTCTATCAACATTATGCAGTGCAGCTTCATCCACTCAATATTTTAGTTTCTTTTGTTTGGCAACATCTTTCGTTTCGATTTGTTTCATCATTCCACAACCTTTTCATCTGAGTAACATGTACCACACCCATCTTTTACTTTTCTATTCTAGCGCCTCTTTTACAACTTTAACAGTAAGACGTATAAATATAAACGTGACATGCTGTTGGAGTCGTTGAGGACAAGGTCTATATTCCTTCCACTCAGATTCTCACACGAAGGGAAGTAAAAGAATTAAAGAAAGTTAAATTTATTACAGTCATTGCAACTTGAATAGCCGTCAAGTAAAATAAGATAAATGCAGTTTCTCCTAGACTCCTCTGGTACTCGAAAACGAAGAAAAGAGTCAATCACACTATAATGCATTTCAATTTCTATACTTACCCTTTGTTTTAATTGAGTTTTAGTAAATTTTATTAAGTAACCTTTCAATTTAAAAACAAACCTTTTTATTCATCGATAACTGACCATTTAAGTAATTTGATAATAAATTATTCAATTTATTGGTTTTTTGAATTATTTAACTTACTACTGATCATTTCATTTATGTTACTCACCAAATGTTTTGCTCCGATTTTTTTGTTGAGACTCCCAAAGAATAAAAGACCAATATTGATATATATGGGGGTGGTCAATTTGACTGGTACCCCGTTTTGATACAGTCCTATTGTACGGATAAACCTACTATTGTCCGGGCCATATAATAGAGGATCCTTTATAACTCTGGATTGGCCCGAACAACATCATGTCTTATCCGTATAATAGTAGAGAAAAGCTACTAGCCACAATCGTGAGCTGGTAGCTTTTTCCTACTATTGTAAGGATAAGACATGGTGTTGTTCGGGCCAATCCAGGGTTATATAGGATCCTCTATTATATGGCCCGGACAATAGTAGGTTTTATCCGTACAATAGAACTGTATCAAAACGGGGTACCAGTCAAATTGACCACCCCCATATATATTGTTTTTTCTTTTATTTTAAAGTCAAAGTTATACTATGATTATAATACAAGTTCGAGTAATGAACAAGCTTTATTACGACCAGTATTAAATATAGTTGAAAATGGAATTGTGCCAAGAAAAACTTCAAGTAAGAATAGAATTGATTTGAATGAAAAGAAAAAAAAAATATTTTGTTCCAATTTTTTTTTTGATGATTGTAGCATTTAGTATATTCTTTCCTTGTTTAACAACAAATCGAGTTAATTGTTCAGTATTATTTCGATTGTATAATTCAACAACAAATCATACATCAATGATTATACCTTTAAAATTTATGAAATATTGTCGAGATGAAACAATGAATCATTCTTTGCTTTCTCAATTTTATAATTCAAATCAAATTATTGATTATTTACTGATGAAAGAATGTAAGTTCATCAAAAAAGAAAACAAATTCTATTGAAATTTTTTTTGATTCTTATTCAGCTCGACATCGAGAGTTCGCATCAATAACAATAACAACTATATTCGCATATTCATTAATTATTGCTTTTGTTGTTTTTTTAATTGTATTTTGTACGGCTATAAGCTTATTTTGTCTTTTTCGAATGACAACAACAAAGAAGACATTATCAAAAGAGTAAATATTTTTATTTGATTTAGAATATGAATGTATAATTTTGATTGATTTTTATAGTTTGATTCATGATACTCAAGATTATCCAATACTACCCGCGTCATTTGATATGACAACTTTTGAAGATGTTAGTCTATATTCATGTACTCAGTATGATTTTACGAAAACAGCTGATGAACTGTTATCTTCAGTAACTTTTGCTGATTGTACTATTGATCAGAATCATGTTATACTACATGAAATCATTATGGAAGGTACACTGGTTTATTTATTTTTTTGTTGATTATGTTTTCTTCAAGAATGATCATATTGGTCATTTTATGAACGATAAATTATTAAAAATTAGTTTTTGATAGAAAAAAGAGTTTTTTTAGTTGTCTCAAAGCATTTTCATGATGAGAGTTTTGAGAAAATAAAAAATAATACGCTGATTTTTAAGTGAGAATGAATAATATTTAGTAATATAGATTTGGATCACTTAATCATTATTATTTATCAGTACTGGAAGTCTCGGTTTTTACGTATTGTTGCTTATTATTTGAAACTAGACATTGTCTTTTATTTATTATACTTACAATTCATTTCATTTCTTTTCATAAACAAAAATTTATCTAATCCAGATAGAGTTTTGCATACTAGAGTTAGAATTTTCATCTGTATAACAGAGGGATCACCTATCTTGAAAAATAGCATCATCAGTACATGATTCTAATCATTCGTTAGCGACCTAACTTCGTAAAATTAAAACACTTGTATTTTAGGATAACGAAATTTCCTAGAGCTTATTTTTATATAACGTATATCATAAGTTAGTCTAGATACTCTGCAAAAAATCGGCTCTAAAGACATTTGTTTAGAATAGTTATCAATAAAAAACTAACGTTAGCGACCTAACGTAAAAAAGGACATCAACTTTCACTTTATATATTTTAGTTGAAAACAAAACCATCGAATTGAAACAACATTGAGCAGTACATTCTGCAGAGAACTCCGAATGCTACAAACTCTCTATCCGAATTTTTTTTTTGAGCATGATTAGATTTTTAAAAAAAAACCGATTTATTTGTCATTAG